CCATCCTGGCTAACACGGTGAAACCCCGTCTCTACTAAAAAATACAAAAAACTAGCCGGGCGAGGTGGCGGGCGCCTGTAGTCCCAGCTACTCAGAGGCTGAGGCAGGAGAATGGCATAAACCCGGGAGGCGGACCTTGCAGTGAGCTGAGATCCGGCCACTGCACTCCAGCCTGGGGCACAGAGCGAGACTCCGTCTCAAAAAAAAAAAGAAACAAAGACAACAACATAGGGGTCTGCTTTCCTCTACATTTCTTTCATAGGAGATAGACATCCCACAGGGACATGGCCTCATCTGTTCTCTGACCTGCTTTACCCACCAGACAGGCCTGAAGCTGGAAGAGGTGCCCAAGACTGTCTATGCAATCCTCCACTCCACACTACCTGAAAGCACACACTAAACGGAAAAAAAAAAAACAAAACACCAGACTTCTCACGGAGAAAATATCTGGGCGAACAGGAGGGTGGGGCTTTGTCCAGGCCTGGGACTAGGACGAGCCCCCACCCTGAAGTGACCACAGAGCCCTTACCTGGCATCGCCATCCTGGTCATCAGCATGGTCGCCCGTGTTGTTAACAGCATATCTGCTACGTGGCTTATCTGAGTGAGGGCAAAAAGAGAAGAAGGGCTAAGAAAACAGGATCCTTCCACATACAGGAGGATTACGGAACCGTTAAAAGCCATGTTTTCCAAAACATGGTCTATCCATACCATGGGATATTACTCAGACATAAAAAGGAATGAACATGGATGAACCTTGACAATATCGTGCTGAATAAGCCAAAGACAAAAGAACAAATAGTGCACTTACAGTATATGAAATGTCTAGAAGAGGCAAATGCATCAAGACAGAAAGTAGATTAGAGTTTACCGGGGGCTGGGAGCAGGGTAAACGAAGAGTTATTGGTCAGTGGTTACAGAGTTTCAGTTTGGGTGATGAAAAAGCTTTAGAAATAGCCATAATGGTTGCAAGATATAATGAAAGTAATTAATGCCACTTAATTATACACTTAAAAATCATAAAATGACAAATCTTATGTTATCTTCAAAAACTGTGATGAGCCGGGCACGGTGGCTCACGTCTGTAATCCCAACACTTTTGGAGGCTGAGGCAGGCGGATCACCTGAGGTCAGGAGTTCGAGACCAGCCTGGCCAACATGGCGAAATCTTGTCTCTACTAAAAATACAAAAATTAGCGGGGCGCGGTGGTGGGAGCCTGTAATCCCAGCTACTGGGGAGGGTGAGGATTGTGCTACTGCACTTGAGCTTGGGCGACAGAGTGAGACTAGGTCTCCAAAAAAA